CCCCAACACAATGCTGATGTTGATTCATCCAAATTCCAGCATTGCTCTGGGGAGGGGGGACTCAGAAAATTGAACAGTGACTTCCCACTTCAAACTAATGCGTCACCAGTTGGCATTTTCTGAGATATTGCAAATACTCTATTAGATATCTGGGACTGGTCTCAGTTAGATCGAGCTTATGTAATGAAATCTCATTAGAAGGCTTCAAGGGGGACATACGAATTGTTAAAGATGTGTTTTATGTAACTCCTACTCTCAACTTATTCTTTAAATAGTTATTATTTTAATTTTATTTCACTATTGCGTTATTAAAGATGGTTTTTTATTAGTACGGCACTTGTAGACTACCCGCTATTATTTTATAGCAGTTAAAAACTTCTGGATGCTATACAGGGCATAGCAACACAGGGAGCGTAGCGTAACCTGTGAGCTTTTTAGTGAAAAATAATAAAAAAAAAATAAAAGTTCGATAATAAATAATATTAAATGTAATATTTAATATTAAATAATAAAAGTTCGAAGTTAACTTGAAACTAACAGTCTGATAGTAAGATATTTAAAAATAAAATGATAGAATACTGAATCTCCTAAGAAGGGTTAACGGCACACATTTTAAAACCATCCAAGACTTGTGTTTAAAAATATAATGATAAAATGTATACATCTAGATCTTACAACAGAGGTAACCAACACACATTATAAAACTATCTAAGAACTCAATAGAGCTTATGGCTTGGTGTGATTTTGCAAGCCCCCTTAAGACACAATTTTGAAGATGCGCGCATTGTTCAGAGTCTCCTATATTACGTGCGCAGGCTTTAGCGCCTGTTATGTTAGTGAAACCAGCAAACACTTTGCCACCCGCATCCGAGAACATCTTTACTCAGACAAGCATTTCCATGATATCTAAACGCATAACTGGTTCTGATAATTGCGCTCCCTTTGTTTGAAAGACTGTTTCAAAATTCTTAACTCGGCTTCCACTAGCTTCTAATTGAAAGTCAAGGAAGCCATGCACATCCTTTGGGAGCAGCCTTCTTTAAATTCCCAAGTTAAACATCTTCATTTATCCCTTCAGTACTTATAATTAGTCTGTTTTTGGTGTAATATTTTCACCTTTTTGTCAATTGATATTCCTGTACAACTGACGATGCATGTCACGCATTTAGAATTATCTGCTGGTTGTATTCCCGCAACCCACTGCAGCTCGTCATTTATCAGTTGTCTCCTGTATCAATGGAATGAACTTTGAACATACCAACAGTAATATTTCTTAGGAATGAATCTTCATTCTGAGGACACCTGGCTCCATAGCTTGTTCCATCTCTGACATCTTCCCAAGGCTGGACTGGTTGGGGAGGAGAAAAGCGAAGGTCACCAGCCGGTGCAGCGGCATACGGAATCCCAAGGAAATACTCCAAGTTTAAACCGAATATGCTCTTTTGCGGTCGTTCTCGAACAGGCCCTGTCTTAAGGTGAACAACAAACTCGTCTTCCGGCAGTAGCTGAAGCGGCAGTGCAACTCGGCAAAACGGCGAAGGAAGCTCCAAGGAACAAAATGAAAACGGAGCTTTGGTAAATTGAAAATGGCATGATATACAAGGACTACAAGTGTAGATAAACACAGCTGAAACAAGACTATAAATCGGTGTGTTTAGGAATCATAACACAATGCCATATTGTAGTTTGTAACTCAATAATTTAAGCTCAGGTAAACGAGGCATAACTTATGCTCAATACTGATGTGATAACTGCTCTGCGTTTGATTGGTTCTGACGTAGAAGGTATCTGTCAACAGAGTATATAACAAAAAACGCATATAGCTCAAGGGACTCTGAGTATAAACTCAATGTTCTATTACCGCCCACAAACTATTACAAAAATAGATTCAGCTATAGTTGGGCCAAAATCTTTGCATTCAGTGACTTAAGGGAAGTAGAGTCTCTTTGGAAATTCAAGTGCCTAATCAAAGAAGAACAGTAAGGCCCGGCATTCGGGGAAACGAGCTTTTATTTAAATAGTTGGTTATTATGAATTAGGTATTTTTTCAAAGGCGACGAATTTTTACCGTGGATAAATAAAGATTGCTTATCTACCTAACGTGAAGGCACGCAATCTCAAGGCATAAATTATTATTTTTTTATCCACCACAGAAGTGCAAGACTTTTTTTAGACTTCAATATTCAATCTTGGCGAGTCGGCTCAGACTTGACTTCTTCTTCTAACGTTACTTTGATTTTTGTATAAACAACTATATGCCGTATTTGAATCATTCATTTCGGCTCTCGTAACCATACAGCAACGTGAGTAAAAAGCGTGTAGAACATAGTACAGTTACATATTCACAATATATGCCAAGCACAAGAGAACTTAAAGATTGTTGACCCGATTCCATATTGAATCTTAAGGAAGGTCAGGTCAGCCCTGAGTCATTATATCCCCAATGAACGCACGAAACACAAAACAAGAGGTTCTACAACTTTTTCGATTCGGTAATTCTTAACCTGCGATCAGGCATTCTCTTTTTTTGGCGAACACGGGAAGATGAAGAAAACAAAAGACACGTGATACATTTACTTCACGAGTCACCTGCCGCGCCTTTGTTGCTTACTTGTTGGTGCACCACAGAGGCACCGCCATGTTGGTGCACCAGAGAGGTGCACCAACATGGCGGCTCCATACTGAGCTCTGTAAATTTTTGCGAAACATTTCAACGAATATCTGCGGTTTGGGAAAAACGCACAGCCCTAAAACTTGGAGAAGTGTCTTCTTTATTTATTTCCTATAATATCACAATTTCTTGACTTTATCCACTGAATAGTTTTCGGTTTACTTTTTATTTCGTGACAGTGAAACCGATGCTATATGTCAGAGCCAATCAGATTTTACCGGAAGAAAGAACGCCTGATCACAGGTCAGATAATTTTTTGTTTACAACAAAAATAGGCATCAGACGACAAATTCCACAACGTCAATCTAGTGCTAAAAATAAGTTTAAATGAATGATGAATTTGAACTAAATGGAACGTGACGAAACAATTAGCCATGTTCTAAACGAGCAGGGGACTGGATACGAATATTTAAAATCAATTGAATTGAAAAATGGGACCCACCATCTGAAAGAGCAACCAAACGTTATTAAGTTTACCAAACCCGAGATTTATTGGTTTAAACGCAAAGGCATGGCACACTTTTACAAATCGCTAAAATAAGAGAGCTTTCTATCCATTGGAGGAACGAGCGTCCCTGAATAGTAATGGTAATAGTAATAGTAAAGCTAGTGCTAATGCTAATGCTAATGCTAATGCTAATGCTAATGCTAATGCTAATGCTAATGCTAATGCTAATG